TGGAGGTGGTGGCGGCATGAGCAGGGGCCGAGGGAGGAGAGACAATGAGCTCATTGGCCAGACAGTGCGCATCTCCCAGGGACCCTACAAAGGTGACCTGCAAGGCCATGTGGAGGCCTGGTGGGGCCAGGTGGGGCCAGGTGGGGAAGCCCAGGCCTGACCTCTGTTCCCCACAGGTTACATTGGTGTGGTGAAGGATGCCACCGAGTCCACAGCCCGTGTGGAGCTGCACTCCACCTGCCAGACCATCTCGGTGGATCGCCAGCGTCTCACCACGGTGTACGGCTGGGCCAGGGGAGGGCCAGTGGCAGGTGAGGGGCGGTGCGAAGGCCCCACTCACACACTGTTCTGTCCACAGCGGCTCTCGGCGTCCTGGTGGCATGACCACAACTTACGGGAGGACGCCCATGTACGGCTCCCAGACACCCATGTATGGCTCTGGCTCCCGCACACCCATGTATGGCTCGCAGACACCTCTCCAGGACGGTGAGTAAGGCCAGGGTGTGTTTGGGGGGGGTGCTGGGGGGGGGGATAGGACATAATGGTGGGCATGCATGTCTCTCACGTTACAGGCAGCCGCACTCCACATTATGGCTCACAGACACCCCTACATGATGGCAGCCGCACTCCTGCCCAGAGTGGGGCATGGGACCCCAACAACCCCAACACACCATCACGGTGAGGGCCAGGTTCTGAGGCACGGGGTGCAGGGGCTTGGGCATGTGAATGGGTATGTTGTGGCATCCAGGGGCAGAAGGCTCTGGGGGGTGTACCCGAAGGCCCAGGCAGGAATAGGTGTGGCTGGGAATGGGGCCATCCAGCCACTGTGGATAGCCACTGCCATGATGCCRGGGCAGGTGGCCCCCATCTGCTCATGGTCTCTGCTGTGGAATGGCATGTGTTGCCATCCAACAGCATCTGCCACCTTACCATCCCCAGTTCTCAGCTGACTTCTRTCCCCAACAGGGCTGAAGAAGAGTATGAGTACGCCTTCGACGATGAGCCTACTCCGTCTCCACAGGCCTATGGGGGGACCCCCAACCCCCAAACACCTGGCTATCCAGATCCTTCCTCCCCCCAGGTCAACCCACAGTATAACCCACAGACTCCAGGGACGCCAGCCATGTGAGTGCCCTGGGCTAGCCCTGATCACGGCTGCACACATCCTCCCACTGCCTCACCCCCTGTGCCTTCCCTGCTGAACAAATGTCCTTTCTTTCCTGTGTCTTCAGGTACAACACAGACCAGTTCTCCCCCTATGCTGCCCCYTCCCCTCAAGGCTCCTACCAGCCCAGCCCCAGTCCTCAGAGCTACCACCAGGTGGCACCAAGCCCAGCAGGCTACCAAAACACCCATTCGCCAGCCAGCTACCACCCCACACCCTCGCCCATGGCCTATCAGGTACTGGTCACCTTGGATGCCCTGCAGAGCAGTGGGCTAGAATGGACTGTGGCCTACAGCCAGGCCAAGTGACTGTTCCAGTGACACTATCCTCTGTTCCCCCGTAGGCAAGCCCCAGCCCTAGCCCAGTTGGCTATAGTCCGATGACACCTGGAGCTCCCTCCCCTGGTGGCTACAACCCGCACACACCTGGCTCAGGCATTGAGCAGAACTCCAGCGACTGGGTAACCACTGACATCCAGGTGAAGGTGCGGGACACCTACCTGGACACACAGGTGGTGGGTCAGACAGGAGTCATCCGTAGTGTCACGGTGAGTGGGAAACAGGCATGTTATGGTGATTGGTCAGCAGGCATCCTCTCCCTGGATGCCCGCAGTTTTCATGTATGGGCTCGGGTCTGTGGTTTGAACTGATTCTCCAGGTTGCAGTGTCAGGGAGGGAGTGGAGGTGGTGAGACTGGGCTCTTGGAGCCCTGAGGAGTTGGGGGCGTCAGGTTGCTCTGTGGCAGTGCCATGGGGAAGGGAGGAGGAACAGAGGTGGGAGAGGAGACCCTCCGGAGGCTGAACGGACAGACCTCAGAGCTGGACCACTGTTGGTGACAAAGATGAGGTCCAGAGCTTACCGGGGCTATGGGGCCAGGATGGGGGGGCAGGTAGAAAGAAGCCACGGCCATTCGAGGACATGAAGAGTGCCTGAGAAGTAGTCCCCGTTTGGCCCAAGTTAGCTTCATCCTGGGGCTTCCCTTGCTGACTTGGTCACCCTCCCACCTGCCCTGCCACCATGCATCACTGGCTGCAGCCTTGGAACCAGGCACAGCYGTGGCCCTCCTTGCTTGCTTATCACATGGGGATTGAGTTTTCAGAATGAGTCTGTAGCCTGTGTCCCTTGGAGAGTGGGAACAGGACAGGTTGACCAGGCTGTGCCTACCCCGCAGGGAGGCATGTGCTCCGTGTACCTGAAGGATAGTGAGAAGGTCGTCAGCATTTCCAGTGAGCACCTGGAACCCATCACCCCCACCAAGAACAACAAGGTAGGTCAGGGGACGGGGCCAAGGGGTGTCAGGCTGCTGACATGGGGTGCTGATTCTATGTCCCCCACTTCAGGTAAAGGTGATCCTGGGTGAGGATCGGGAGGCCACAGGAGTCCTGCTGAGCATCGATGGTGAGGATGGCATCGTCCGCATGGACCTTGACGAGCAGCTCAAGATCCTCAACCTCCGCTTCCTGGGGAAGCTCCTGGAGGCCTAAGTCAGGAGGAGAAGTAGAATTCAGAAGATGACCTGGCAGAGAAGAGGACCAGGACCCTCCTTCCTTCCCTGGCCCTTGAACCTGACACAGAATCCTGGGCTTGGAGTAGGGCTACGCTGATCATTTTGGAGTTTCTTTATCTTCTTTTCTGGGTTGCCACCTTCTTCCTCCCTGATGCTCATAGGAATCAGAGTAGAATCTGGGGAAGGGTCCCCCACTTCTAACACCCCGCTGCCCCCAGCTTGCTTTTGTGTTTATGGTCTTTCAATAAAAAGAAGACGTTTGGTCAGAGCTGTGTGTGTGTGTGTGTGTGTGTGTGTGTGTGTGTGTGTGTGTGTGTGGTTTGTAGTGGGGTTATTTACAGAGCCCATTTACTTCCTTTTGTGCTTTGGGGTAAAGAACTGGATACTATCAAAGTTCTCCCATCTAGAAAATGAGTTTGTACCTCAGAAGGCTCATGAGAGGGGTGGATGAGAAGACATTGGAAAGAGGTCATTGGAACAGAGCTTGCTATGCGACTAACAAAGTTACTTCTTACTCAGGCATGAATTCTACTAAGTGAAAATCACAGTCAACCCCTGCCCTACAGGGTTGGGGCTGTAGCCCAGTGGTAGAGCGCTTGCCTGGCATATAGGAGGCACTAGGTTTGATCCTTATCACCACATAAAAATAAACAAGTAAAATAAAGGCATGATGAATAACTACAAAAAAACAAGCCCTACAACCTAAATGTCGCCTAGCAGCACACTTGATAGTCCTTTATCTTGAGTTCCAAGAGCAGTGACACCAGAATTACTGGAGCTTGTGATAACTTGGTGACAGGAGTGGGAGCAATGTTAAGAATGGGGCTTTGGGGGCTGGGTAGCTCAGTGGTGGAGTGCTTGCCTCTCACATGTGAGGCACTGGGTTCAATCCTCAGCACGGTATAAGGTATTGTGTCTGTCTATAACTAAAAAAAAAAAAAAAATTAAAAAAGAATGGGGCTTTGTATCTTGAACTTCCTGTTCCTCGTTTGATATTACAACGTTAATATCTTCTTGGGGGGAGGGGTTTACTGGGAATGGAACCCAGGAGTGCTTAACCACTGAGCCATATTCCCAGCCCTTTTTATTTTTTGAGACAGTCTCACTAAGGAGCACAGAGCCTTGGCAAATTGCTGAGGCTGGCCTCAAACTTGTGATTTTCCCGTCTCAGCCTCCCAAGCCACTGGGATTATAGGCATGCATCACCACGCCCGACCAATATTAACACTTCTACAAATATGACAGTATTATAAAATACTTCAGATATTTAAAAAGATACCGCTGGGCAGGGTGGCATATGCCTGTGATCCCAGTGGTTTGGAAAGCTGAGGCAGGAGGATCTCCATTTCAAAGCCAGCCTTAGCAACTTAGGCTGCAAGAGATCTAGTGAGACCCTGTCTCAGAATTTTAAAAAAAGCTGGGGATGTGGCTCAGTGGTTAAGCGCCCTTGGGTTCAATTCCTGGTACCTAAAATAAGTAAATAACCACGAAGACCCATGCCCACCCCAGCTTAGGAAACAATAGGTACCAGAGAGAGAACCAGTTTTGGCAGCAGCCCCAATCCATCCCCTTCAGCAGTAACCCCACCCTGGATTCCGTTTCTTTACCTTGCCGGGCTTTTGCTACATTAGTATTTTTGGTTTTTATATATAAGTTATCAGAGCCCACACACTGAAAATGATTTGGCAAACATTCACGGCTTTTGCAAACTCAAAATTCGTTGATTTCTCGCTATTAAGGGCATGGCGCTGTACTGCCTCTCCTGTCCCTTTATAAGAATTCGTGGTAGGAGGGGCAAGAAGCGCTCTGAGTATGGGAAAGAAGGCAGATTCCATCTCAGCTCAGGGCTGGCTTTTCAGATGTCCTCCAAGTCTGTTTCCACTTCTGAAGATTAAGAGGTGAAGATAAAGACCCCCCCTTAGGGGAGACAGCTATCCTGGGTTCTTTTTTTTTTTTTAAAAAACCTTTTACTTATTTTGTGAGGTGCTGAGTGAGGATCGAACCCAGTGCCTCATGCATGCTAGGCAAACGCTCTACCACTGACCTACAGCCCCAGCCCTAGCCTTAGCTTTACCTCCAAGCAATAGGTCTTATCCTCGCCCCTGCCTCGTCCAGTTGCTGAACTGGTGTTCCCTAAGGATTGAGGGGGGCGTGGTGCCAGCTGACTGTACTCCAATTGGTGTGCCTGGGAGACAGCTAATAAAAAAATCTAAGGCGATAGCACCTGCGGCAATCCGCCTGGAGCCTCTTGTCTCTCTCAGGCACCCGTCCACCCACCTCTTCTCTGCGTCCTCATTGGCGGCAGCCTGCGCCCGGGGCGGGAGAAGAGGGAGCGAGTGGGCGGGGCCTCGTGGCGTCAGCGCAAGATGGCGGCCTCGGCGGCGCTGTTCTCGCGCTTGCGGAGCGGGCTCGGGCTCGGCGCGCGGGGGCTGTGCACGAGGCTGGCGACGCCGCCCCCCCGAGCCCCAGACCAGGTGAGCTGAGTGAGATTGGGCCCTGGGTGCCCGGGCTCCTCCATGAAATTTCGGACGTATAGCTGCCGGGCAGGGGTTCTGGGATGCTGCACCTCAGGGTGCTGAATGGAAATCCGCCTGCGTTTGAGGGGTGCTTCCCTGCCTGCCAGAGGCACATTTGCTTCCTGGGACGGATATTGGGGCCCCAAGGGCATCCTCTGGATCACACCTCCCACCCACGTGGGCGGCCGAAGAGGTCACCTCTTTCCCTGTGCCAGTGAACACTCAGGTGTAATACGACGGGGAGGGACCCGGGACGCTGGGGTTCCAGCCTGGCCTTGCGGGTATTTTCTTGGAGTTGTTAGTGGTAGTGAAGTAGATGTCCGGGCTTCGGATTCGACCTTCTTCCATGTGGACAGATCCCAACCATTCTGACCTCCAGTTCATTACTTCCGTTACCTTTTTTCCCCAAGTCCCATACAAGTTGCTCTTCCCTGCCCCCACTCCTGTCCTTTTTTTTCTAGACCCTGCTACCTTGAGCCGTAGGAATCCGGATGTTTTAACTCTCAGTCTTGTCCCGTGTGCCTTCTGTCCCCCAACTTCAGGCACCCCAATTTTGGGCGACCTGATCCCTTAGTCTCCCTGACTGACTTTGCTGGGCTCCAGACCCTCCAGTCCTCTTACCTCCAGGGTCCTGGGTAAACTGGCCTGTCAGTTCTTAAATTCCTGGATTCTTTGCCCTGTACAGTCTAGTTTAGACTCTCTGAAGGAGGTCCTCTCAGTTGCCCTTCCAAGAATACAATGCTGRGGGTTATGTGGGTGTCTGCTTCTTGACTTCTGATTTTGATTCTACTTGAACTAGAGTAGAGGTCAAAGTATCCTGACCTTGTCTCTCTCCTCTCTTAGCTAACTGCCTTCCTCCACTCCTCCCCCAATCTGCAGGCTGCAGAGATTGGAAGCCATGGGAGCACTAAAGCCCAGGGGCCACAGCAGCAGCCAGGCTCAGAAGGTCCCAGCTATGCCAAAAAAGTTGCACTTTGGCTTGCTGGTTTGCTTGGAGCTGGTGGGACTGTGAGCATCATCTATATTTTCGGTGAGGGACATGCCCCTGCCCGCCAATTTTGTTCTGCTGGCTTCCTGAATTCTACTGTGGAACCTTCCCCTCTTTCCCCGTAGTGGCTTCACTGATCTTCATTCTCTGACCCTTCAATAGGGCTGCCAACTAGGACACCTATTTTGAAAACTGGAGAAGTCTCCTTTCTTCTTTCTCCCCCTTCTGTCTCTCGAGCTGGTTCCTGTATCAGGCTACGGGAACCAATTGGAAGAAGGGAATATAGAGGAGGATAGCCTGGACCAGCCTTCTAAGCTGTGTCTTCCCTCAGCACCCAAAAGTCCATCCCAGTCCTCTCCTCCCTTGAATCTAGGAGGCCATACCTCTAGCCCTCTCTCTCAGACCCAGGAGTCCAAGCCCCTGACATACCCTCTACCCTCAAGAGCCAGGAGATGGGGTCCCCATGTCATTGATTGTCTCCCTTGCAGGAAACAACCCTGTGGATGAAAACGGTGCCAAGGTGAGGGGGAACGAGGCCTTGCCAGAGTCCTTCCTTTGTGAGGGTGGGTTCCCTTTGGTCGACTCAGGCTTGTCTCTGGCCTGGAGTGAGCCTCTCCCTCCCAAGGACCTTCTACTCCTCTCAGAGGTCTTGGAGAACTTTTTATAAGYATGTTGGGGTCCTGCCTGTTCCTTCCCAACCTTTCCATTTTTCTCTCCACCTCCCAGATTCCTGATGAGTTCGACAATGGTAAGTCAACAAGCACAGATTCTGGRGTCCCCTGGCCCTCTTAACTGTGCCACTTAGGCACAGGAGCCCTCCCCATCTGGTGCTCCCAGCCCCTCCTCCTTCCATTGGRGGGGCAGCAGCTGGATGGCTTGGGGGAGGGGCATTACAAAGCTCCAGCCCCCTTTCCTGGCCCCTCAACCCAGGAGCAGATGGCCGAGGACACATGGGGGAGGGGAACCTGGGTGGGAGGGCTTGGGGAGACAGGGCAGTCTATCCCCAGACACATGGCTTCCTGTGCCTTAGATCTGAGCATCTGCAGCCCCTAACCCCCTCCTCTTTATGACAGCCTCTTTTTTTCCCCTAAGCTCCTACCCCACCAGGCTCCTCATTTCCAAAACAATGCCTCCCCTCCCTCCCCCTCTCATTAACCAGCTTTTGATGGGGAGSTTCTGACAAATTGGATAGTAGTTGTCAATTCTGTCACACCTGGCTCTTCCCAAGAGAAAAGTAAAATTGGTGGATCCAGAAAGCCACCTGTTTTGTGCTGGGGAGTTTGTTATACTGATTGTTGCAGCGAGGCATCAGGTGAGTATGTTTTAACTGGGCAGATATAAAATTATAGTGGCTTCAACAAATCAATATGCTGATTTAAATTGGGCAGGTAGAGACGTAGGTTTAAAATGTGCATATTAACTGGTTTCAATATTGTGGTTTTTCAGAGAGTGGCCCATAGGTAGAACTGGACTGAAAATACTGCCCTCCAGCGGGCACTCCTGGAAGCTCTCGGTTTCAGCTGAAGCCAGTGTACTCATTTAAACCAGGGTTTTTCACCTTCAGCCCTATTGACAGTTTGAACTAGATCATTCTTTACTGTGGGAGGACTGTCTTGTGCATTATAGGATGTTTAGCAGCACCCAGGATAATTATATTTACGCACTAGGTGCCAGAATCATGGCAATCAAAACTGTCCCCATGGGCTGGGGTGCGGCTTAGTGGTAGAGCCCATGCTTAGCATGGGTGAGATCCTGGGTTCAGTCCTAGCATCAAAAAAAAAAAAAAGGTCTCTAGACATTGCCAAATGTACGGTGGTAGTGTGTGTTGGAGGGACAAGATAAATAAAAGTGTTCTAAGTTGAGAATCTCTGGTTTTAAGCACACAGATGTGTCTGTGTTCACTGTAGTATAACTAGACTAGTGCGCTGGCTTTGAGCAGACATCTCAAGCTCAGGATGGACATAAGATCAAAAGGTGTACATGTCTGAATTTTTAAAAAATATTTTTGTTGTAAATGGACACAATACCTTTATTTAGTTTATTTATTTTCATGTGGTGCTGAGGATCGAACTCAGTACCTCACTTGTGCGAGGCAAGCGCTCTGCCACTGAGCCACAGCCCTAGCCCCTATATGTCTGAATTTTAGGTGGGCTATTTTTATACCTGGCATGGAGTGTGGAAGTAAGTATTCACATTAAAACTGGGTAAGTGAGGGGGCTGGGGCTGGGGCTCAGCAGTAGAGCACTCACCTAGCATGGGTGAGGCACTGGGTTCGGTCCTCAGCGCCACATAAAGATTARTAAAGGTATTGTGTCCATCTACAATCAAACATTTTTTTTWAAAAACTGGGTAAATAAATATCTTTGTTTCCACCTGGTAATATGTCATTGCCATCTACCTTGTGGCCTGGAAATGAGCTGATTGAAACCAGGCGGGAGTAGACCTGCTGTGTGTCTGGTGGATCACAAACCTCTGGTGTTTGGGAGGTCGAGCAGCAGCTTATCTTGGAATCCTTTGTGCCCRATGTTCTCCTAGATCCAATTCTGGTTCAGCAGTTACGTCGGACATACAAGTATTTCAAAGATTATAGACAGGTAAGCGGGGACCTGGGCCTGGTCCCTCCCTTCTGTCCTCAGCCCCCAGCTTCAGTGTCAAGCACCCTTGTCCTTTTTTTGTCCCACAGATGATCATTGAGCCCACCAGTCCCTGCCTTCTTCCAGACCCTCTGCGGGAGCCATACTACCAGCCGCCCTACACACTTGTCTTGGAGCTCACTGGTGTCCTCTTGCACCCTGAGTGGTCGGTGTGTCTCGGGGAAGGCAGCGGGTTGGGGATAGACCTGTGCAGTGGGCTGGGGGTGCTGTGTGATCTTGGGGAGAGCCTGTCTCTTCCCACTGCCTCGTTTTCAGTGCCCACTGTGGGGCTGTCGGGGGTGTGCCAGGAGTCGGCTCTTGCTCCAGACTCTAGTTCTTAGCCCTTGTGTTCTCAAACCCCCAAGAACAGAGGGAACCCTGGCTCTGGGAACCCCTTGGCTGGGTCTAGGCCCCGGGCCCCTCGTGGTCCTGGTGGCTCACTGCCCTCATCCCCCAGCTGGCTACTGGCTGGAGGTTCAAGAAGCGGCCAGGCATCGAGACCTTGTTCCAGCAGCTTGCACCTCTGTACGAAATCGTCATCTTCACGTCAGAGACGGGCATGGTGAGGCTCCGGGGCAGAGCAGGCATGGGTGGTGTGGGGAGCAAGAGATCTGCTGGGCCAGACCCAGCTGACCTCTCCTCGATCCCCCAGACTGCGTTTCCACTCATCGACAGTGTGGACCCCCATGGCTTCATCTCCTACCGCCTCTTCCGGGATGCCACAAGATACATGGATGGACACCATGTCAAGGTGCGTGTGGGGGTCATGGTGGGCCTCTGGGTGGGCTCGGGTGCCAGCACTGCCAGAAAGAGGGCTGAGCTCCAGTCCCAGCCTCCACCCTGCTTGTGATTCTGTACAGATCTCATTCTCCTGGCAGGACCTGAGCTTGGCGGAGCATTTTGGCCCTTCCTCCAGAATCTGGGGGAGTGGGGAGAAGTGGGGTCTCCCTAAAGAAGACAGTTGTGGGTGAGGGGTAGTGATGTGGAGTTTCGTCTCTCTGTGTCAGTAACTGGGTGCTTCAGGACAGTGGATAATTGCAGTTGCTCCCATGAGCCTGTTTTTGGAAACACATGCCGGGGTCTGGGCCTGGCTCCAGGATTCCCTGTGCCCAGGCATCTGTTGGGCTTCTATGTGGGTCTTGTTGGGGCTGGGGGCTTACGTTGGGATTCAGCGGTGCATGGACTRTGACAAAGGTCTGTGTCAGTCTGTGTGCTCCCTGTGTGTTGCTGTGGGTCCATCTGCACCTCTTTTTCCTGGGCAAGAGGTTCCTCAACCTGCAGCATATCACAGTCAYCTCACCTGGGCAGTAGTTGGACACGCCAGGGCCCGCCCATCCCAAGAGGGCCTAGGAGTGGCGTGACTCCGCCCAGCCAGAGGCCGAGGGCTCTGCAGGTGGAGTTTGGGAGAGGGGCATGGTGATGCCTTGTGTGTGCATGTTCCTCTTGGGGAGGAGAGGGGCACAGAGAGTGACCTGACCTGTCGCCCACTTCCAGGACATTTCATGTCTGAATCGGGACCCGGCCCGAGTGGTGGTCGTGGACTGCAAGAAGGAAGCCTTCCGCCTGCAGCCCTACAACGGCGTCGCCCTGCGGCCCTGGGACGGCAACTCGGACGACCGGGTCTTGTTGGACCTGTCTGCCTTCCTTAAGAGTGAGGCTGGTCCCGCCCTCCTAGCCCCTGACCCCAGGGACCTGGTCCTCAAGATGATGGCAGATGCTTGATTCTGCCTTGTCTTTCTTGTCCACTGGCAGTCAAGKGAGGCCCTGGGCTCARTCTCCAGTGCTGGGAAAACAAACTGCAGTCGAGGGGCAGAGGCCATGAGCAGTTTGGAGTCCCAGAGACTCCTGTGTCCGGGTGCTCCCCTGGGAATGATGGGGGAGCCCTTGTGGAGCATTGCGAGCGTTCCAGGGAGTGTCAGTCTAGGATCTGACCTTGGCCCTGTGGGCCCTGCCTCCCTTGGGCCTCAAGGCTGGCTGACCGCGTCCTGTTGTGCCCGCAGCCATTGCTCTGAACCAAGTGGAGGACGTGCGGACCGTGCTGGAGCACTACGCCCTGGAGGACGACCCGCTGGAGGCTTTCAAGCAGCGGCAGAGCCAGCTCGAGCAGGTTGGACTCCTCCACGCCCAGGGTCCTTTGAGGCTCCCGAAGGAGGTTCCTGAAGCAGCCCCTCTCTATACTGTCCCCTGGCTGACTGTGACCTTAGCCAGTACCTTCTCCTTTGCCTCAGTATCTGTGACCTGGGGGCGGGGACACAGCCTTCTGGGCAGGGATGTGGCGAGGAGGGTGGCCTGGTTCTATGGGCTGCTCAGGAAACGGAAAGCACCTGAGATGGGTCTGGAGGAGGGAGTGTCCTTGACACTTGTGAGTCCTGGGGACTCCCTGTGGAGATAGACTTAGGGTTTAGATCACTTCTGGAGGGAGGTGTCCATGGCACTGGGCCAGGAGTCTGGGGAGGGAACTTTGCTGGTCTTGGAGGGACACTGGTGTGTGGCTCGAGTCAGAAAAGATGCTCAGGTCCAGGCTGCGGGTTGGCTTTCTGGGGCTAGCTAGAGCCCCTAAGTGCCCAGAGAAGGCCTGAGACCTGGGCCAGGGGCTTCCCCCATGCCAGCCACTGGGTGCTCAGAGTAGGACAGCGCAGTCTGTTTAGGAAGGCTATGGTCTTTGGATCTGGGGCTCCCCCAGTATCCAGGATGGGGTCTAGGGTCTGAGATAGGTTCCCAGGCTTTGGGGTTGRGCCCTGGGATTAGGGGAGGGGCTTCTGAGAATTTTCTGCCTGAGAAACTGCTGAAGTTCATGGCTGAAAATCCTGAGGGCCTGGGATCTGAGTGTGGTGTCCCCCAGGCGTCTGAGGTTGAGCTCCTGTGACACAGCTGGCCCTTACCAGTGTGTGAACGGGGCTGGAGCCGGCGTGCAGTGCTCGGTTGGTTTGGGGAGGGGAGTGGGCCCTGGGCCAAAGTCTAAAGGAAGGCTGGCCCCTGGGCTGAGGCTGGGAACTGGCAGTGTGGGAGGAAACCCACCTACCCCAGGCTGACTTCCTCCTCCTCTTGTCCCCTGACCCCAGGAGGAACAGCAGCGCCTGGCTGAGCTCGCCAAGTCCAACAAGCAGAAACTCTTCTTCGGCTCTCTCACCAGCCGCTTGTGGCCTCGCTCCAAACAGCCCTGATGCTTTGGGCCTCCTCAAACTCACTGCCTGGGTTCAGGGCCTCAGGCCCCAGTGCTCCCAGACCAAGGCTTGGGCAGCCACATGTCCAATAAAGTGCATCCCAGATGGCACAACTCCTGTGTCCGGAGAGTCTCCAGATGGGGGCATCAGGGTGAGGTCCGGGACTTGGGTCATCATGCCACAGTGGCCAGCTGACTGCCGAACAGAGCAGAGGCTCTGTAGGATCAGGGCCAGTTTGGGCCTGGCTGTCTGGAAACCTGGGTCTCTGCTCGGCTATCTTCCCATGTGCTGTTTGATCTGCAAAAAGTGCACCTCTCTGGCTCCAGATTCCTCGCATGTGGAGAAAAGCAGAGGATGGGGGTTAAACACAGGTAGCTCCCGTGGAAATAAAGCCAAGTTGAGCCCTGGTGGTCTAGAGATGGCCCACCTCACCTGGACATCTGCTCACCTCCCGCCAGCCGTGGCCCTGGAGCTGTTTGAGCTTCTGGTTTTTCAACAGAAGCCCAAAGTTGGGAGGGATGGATGAGTGGATGGATTGAAGGATCGATGGATTGATTTTTGAGATGCGCTCTCACTGTGTTGCCGAGGCTGGTCTTGAACTCCAGGGCTTGAATGGTCTTCCTGCCTCAGCTTCCAGAGTATCTGGCATAAGACTGCTACAGTGCCCGCCCAGAAATGAGGATTTTTATATTAAATCTCACTGTTGATTGGTTTTCTGCAGTGCTGGGTGAAGCCCAGGGCCTCACACACCAGGCTGAAATTGCCCTGAGATTTAAATAGCCACATGTGTCTCCTGGCCCCCATGTTGGCAAGCACGGCTGTGTGGGTTCCTGACTGTTCAAGTGCAGATGCAAGCTCTGCCACTTCCTGGCAGGCTGTGTGACCCTGGGCAAGTTATTTTACCTCTCGGTGCCTCAGTTTCTACATCTGCCTTAGTTTCTGCCTCAGCTTAAAAGCAGAGCCCCTTCTACATAGGCCCCGGGTAGTAGCTGTAAGAATCTAAGGGAGGCACCTCTCCACCTTGGTTTTGTCATCTCTAAAACAGGGGTGTTGGTACCTTAGAGAGGCTGTCAGGAATAGTGACTTGAACTGTCYAGGGGCTAAATGGGGCCTGCCCTTAACAGGCCACATGGTTGTCACAGATGGAAATGTGCTGGACCTTTTTGGCTTGAAGTGACTTCCTCCCAGCCTCTCCGCTCTGGCTGGCACCTACTGCTAGTACCAACTATTTTTAAAAGATCTTCCTTGATGTTTCTTATAAGACTAAATGCACTTGAAATAATGGTCAGCCAGATGCTGAGGGGCACACCTGTGATCTTAGGAGGCCGAGGCTGAGGCAGGAGGATCACAACTTTGAGGGCAGCCCCAGCAATTTAGCAAGAACTTGTCTCAAAAAGGCCTGGGATGTAGTGTGGTAGGGTACCTCTGGGTTCAATTTAAAAAAAAAAGTTCGTGGGCATCTGCAAAGATAAAGTTTGCAGGAACACTCCCAGCCCTGGGTACTGTTTCTAATGCAGGAAGCCGACCCACGTCCTCAGGGCTCCCTAGTTTGGGGAAGTTCCTGGATAGAGGGAGAGCCTGCATTTGCTTTGCATGTGGCTTTAAGAAATGAGACTGAGAATAAGAGGACAAAGCTGCTTCTGTGAGTGTCCTGGGGGAGCCCCTGGTGGGCTGGGAGCTTGCCCCCAGGTGTGCCTACATCCCAGGAACCTGAGGGCCTTTCCARTTCCCCTGCATCAGTACGTGGAAGGAAGAGGTTTATCTGCCAGCCCCTCCCCTCTGGGGTCAAGAGTGGCTCTGGGGCATCAGCCTTTGGCATTCTGGGTGGCACATGCTCTTGCAACCATTGGATCTCCCAGACTTGCCGCTCACTTTGGTGCCAGCTCAGCCCCTTGTGCAGTCAGGTGACACTCGCTGAAAGCTGGTGGGGAGGAGAGGATTTGACCTACTTGTATGACATGGCGGGACATGATCCTCAAGTGCCCTGGGCACCAGGGGTGCGTCGTGTCCTGGGGTCTTCTGATGGACAGCACCGCGTCGCATTAAAGCACCCCAACAGGACCTGCATCTCYGGGTCACGCCTCGGGCTCTGTGACCCTGGCAGGCCTTAGCCTCTATTTCCTCACCCCAAGGGGTTGATACTGGCTCCTCCCTCTGACCCCCTGCTGTGCGGCCCTGCTGGCCCTGGCTGCAGAAGTGGGCCACGTGTGGGGAGCTCCGCCCTCATGGAGCTGTGGTCCCACAGAGGAGATGACAACGCCTCCGGTAGTTCTTAGGGATGATCAATGGATGGAGAAAAATGAACCCAGTGACTCAGGAGGCTGAGGGGGGAGATCCAAAGCTCAGGCAGTTTAGCAAGACTGACGSAAAAGGGCTGGGGTATAGCTCAGTGGGACAGTGCCCCTGGGTTCAGTCCTCAGAAATGAAAAAGAAAATGTGGGAGAAGCAGGGGCTTGGGGACTTGGAGGGCTACTTTATACTTGAGGGAATGGTCCAGAAAGGCGTCTTGGGAAGGTACAGTTGAGCAGAGCCCAGAACGAAATGAGAAGGAAAGCCCTGGGAACCTCGAGTAGACCTCGGGCCTGTGCACTTCCTTTGCCACCCTCACCTCCTCTAGGTCTCAGCGCACATGTCACCTCAACAGGCCTTCTGTGGTCTCTAAGGTTAGCACATAAGAAAAAGTCCCAGCCAGGCACAGTGGAGCACAAGAGGCTGAGGCAGGAGGATCTCAAGTTCAAAGCCAGCCTCAGCAGTAGGGAGGCACTAAGCAACTCAGTGAGACTCTGTCTCTAAATAAAATATAAAATAGGGCTGGGGATGTGGTTGAATACCCCTGAGTTCAGTCCTTGATGCCAAAAAGTAAGTCCCAAACAGCCAAAAAGATAGTCAGAAATCCTGTAAAGTACATTTCCCACACATGTGACATGAGTCCCTGAGAAATGCCATAACGCTTAGCACAAACCTGCAATAAGGGCTGCTTTTAAAAATTTATTCATTTTTTATGGTGCCAGGAATCCAACCTAGAGCCTTGTATATGAGAGGCGAGTTGTTGTTTTAAGTATTTATTTTTTTAAGCATTTATTTTTAGTTATAGGTGGACACAATATTTTTTGTGGGGCTGAGGATCAAACCCAGTGCCCCCTGCAGGCAAGGTGAGCACTCTTCCTCTGAGCCACAATCTCAGCCCCAGACAATTTTTTTTTAATATTTATTTTTTAGTTCTCGGCGGACACAACATCTTTGTTGGTATGTGGTGTTGAGGATCGAACCCGGGCCGCACGCATGCCAGGCGAGCGCGCTACCGCTTGAGCCACATCCCCAGCCTACAATTTTTAACTTTTAAAAATTTTTAGGTATATCAAACCTGGAATCTGTTACTTTCTCAAGTTACCCAGGGCAGAAGTTTGCCATCTCCCACAGCTAAATTCTGTTTTTTTTTTTTTTTTTTTAGTTGTTGACAGACCTTTATTTTATTTATTCATATGCGGTGCTGAGAATCAAACCCAGGCCTCACTCGTGCCAGGCAAGTGCGCTACCTACCACTCAGCCCCAGCCCCAGCCCCAGCCTTCCCACAACTAATTCTAATCTTGCCCAAATTCTGTGTGAACATCTCCAAGATGGGAGGTTCACTCTCCCACCTGACCCTAATCTGCTGCTCAATAATCTGGGTCCACAAGGTCTGGCTTTTCCCTTTGGGTGGCCACAGAATCTGAGTAGTGAGGATGTGGGACAAGGACTTCAAATGTCAGTCTTAAAGATGCACGAGCCACTGAAGAGTATGCAGGGGGAGGACGGGGCCGGGTTTGTGTTCAGAAAGACCCCGTAGGCCAGAGTGGTCAGGGCCGGTGGGGAGGCCCGGGCAGAGGGTGGGGCCAGCACAGAGGAATCCCTGGGGGCTGTGGGAGCTCAGAGGCCTGGGCCCTTGGGGAGGCATCCGAGGGCATCCCTCCATCCATGGGGAGGGGGAAAAGAGCGGCAGAATGAGAAGGAGCCTGGACGTTGCGTGAGCTGACCCACAGCTTTCTCTGGCTCAGACCCTCCCCTACTCCAGTGTCCTCAGGATTAGGAGAAGGTTCTAGATTGGCATTCTTCTATTAATTACAAAATGAGCACTCTGTGTGCCTGACTTTGCTGGCCTCTGGCAGACAATATGCATTTAAATTCAACCTGTATTTTCCCCCTAAAACTATTAGCCTCTGAATTAATTTCCTCTCCCCCGGGAAAAGGAACGAGTTTCCTCCATCCAACAGGCTTTGCCCTGGGCACGGAATGATTATGTCCAGGGCTGGAACATTTGCCCCTAACTGGCGTTTTTTTTGTTTTTGTGTTTTTTTTTTTTTTTTTTTGCTGTGGCCCTGGGATACTAAGGGGTTTTGGAGGGTCTGGGGGTGCCCCCACCGCATTCGTCCTGGGGTGGGAGAGCGACTCCTGGCTCCTGGTGCGTGAAGACGAATTTCCTGCCCATTTGCTCCTCACACCTTCCGGAGGCCAAACGGCGGCCCAGCTGCGGCCGAGGGGGAGGGGCGCGGCCGCCCGGCAGATGGCGGCATTTACATACAGCTGAGAGTTCCCTTTGAGGCTGGGGCTCCTCGCCCTGGCGTCTGGTGCGTCTGGTGATGAGGGGTTTGGGAGGGTGGCTTTGTTATCTGGAGGCGGAACACACACGAGTACCCGCATACACACACATGCACACAGGTCCACAAAGAACCCCGGATCTTCGTCGTATTCATTCTCAGCTACACCCGGGGGACCTCCCAAACCTAGTCACCCGCCCACGCACACCCCTTAGTCATTCACAACCTCATTCGTGTCCTCTAGCCCCACACGCACACAGCCAGCTGGAGACACCTGCACAGGACCACAAAGTCCCAGGCGCCTACGACTACACACAATGGTCCAGGATCTCGCATAAAACACATACACATGCGCGGAGAAGCTTGCGCGCAGCCCACGATCTCAAAACGTCACACAACCCTGAAGTCGTTTACACTTCTATGCGCCCACTCAGGTGCGTACTCACACTCAGAGAATCTTAGAATTATTTACAGTGTGCAGTTGTGTTACCCATCACAATTGCAGGCACACACTGAACTGCACAATCCCATTTAGCCACCGCGTCATGCACGTCCCCCAGTAGCCCTTGTCCCTACACTTACACACTTAGAACCACGTGCAACCTCACAGACTCAGCGCCGGATTCCCCAGCCCACCCCGAMCACACTCAAAATCACGCCCACAAACACACTGCATCGCCGCGCCCATCACACATCGCAATCGTGAAGTTGCTSGGGCTCCGCGACCCTTCCCCTGCCGCCTCTTCCCCTGGATCCCCGGAGCCAGGCGGCTGCCTGAAGGGGCGGGGCCGTCCTCTCGGTTATAAAGCTCCAGAAACCGGCAGCTGCGACTCCCGGGATCCTGGAAAGGCCATGGTCTCTCTGCGGATGTCCCGGGTCCTGTCGGTGATCCTGGCGCTCTTTGGCCTTCCCCAGGTCAGAACACAGCGGAGATGCAATGAACAGGGATAAATGGGGCTGGACGGGGCGACCCACTGGTCTTGGGAGGGGACGCGGGCCGACAGACGCCTGATTCCCCGCGGTCCCCTCACCCAGTGCCCCTTTCCGCCCCTTCCATCCCAGGCACAGCCTGCCGGTGTCTTCGAACTACAGATCCACTCCTTCGGACCGGGACCAGGCCCAGGGACCCCGCGATCCCCCTGCAGCGCCCGGGGCTCCTGCCGCCTCTTTTTCAGGGTCTGCCTGAAGCCAGGGGTCTCCGACGAGGCCGCCGAGGCCCCCTGCGCCCTGGGCGCGGCGCTCAGCGCTCGCGGACCCGTCTACACTGAGCAGCCTGGAGCGCCCGCCACTGACGTGCCGCTGCCCGAGGGCCTCTTTCGCGTGCCCTTCCGAGAGGCCTGGCCGGTGAGCCCCCGCCCTGGGCTACTCCCGGTGCTGGGCCTGATCATGCCACCCAAGCCTTGATCCTCTTCTGTCGTCCAACTCTCAAGACCCTAACCGCATCCCCAGGGCAGCAAATTTCCAGACAAGTAACTACCATCATTCTGGGAAACTATTAGGCTTCTCAACCCTACTCACTGGGCTTCCTAAATGTTCTGATTCCAACTTGCCCTCTGGGGAGTCTAAATATTCTGACTTCAGCTCTACAGGCTGGGGACCCCAAATTCCCAGAACCCCAAACCCACCTTCTGAAAACCCTACATTCATAGAGCCCTGCTTTTGTTCCTTGGAGTTGCCTAAAATCCAGGATCCTCATCTTTGTCTCCAAATCTCCTTGCACTTAGGGACGGACGCTTCCATACTCTGTCTTGGGGACACCTATTAATTCCCCAGGATTTAAATTCTAGACCATTAGGGAAAACGACATTCCCTTTTCTAGTCTATTTCCTTAGCTGTAAAGTGGGGTCATTCTGATACTCCAGTGAACCCCTTTTGCGGGACTCAACTAGGGATCTTGAATTAAGTCCTTGCCATACACTGGTTAGCAAGGAGAGCTGACCGTATTGTTCCTTCTCTSCTCCGGTCCTTCTGGGAATTGTCCCTGAAATTGGCCACCACTCTCCACGTCTGGACTTGCCTTCTCTGATTACCTGCTGTGAACTTTCTGTCTTCCTCCCTTTCTACCACCAACAGGGCACCTTCTCCCTCATCATCGAAACCTGGCGAGAGGAGCTGGGGCAGCAGGTTGGAGGTGAGTGTGTTTGTCCTTGGGGCTGTGGTGGGGGCATGGATGTGGGATCCAGGATGGTGACATGAGGCAGTCTGTAAGGTGGAAAGTTCCTGAGACCATGATGTCACTGCTCCTGGGGAGCAGTGCTGTGGGTAACAGCTCCAGGGCTCTGGGCATCTCAAGAATAGAAATGTCCTGGTAGTGGATGTGGAGTCCATCGTCTTAGTAGAGGTTGGGCATTCCTAATCCAAAAATCAGAAATCGGAAATGCTCCAAAATCCAAAACTTTTTTTTTTTCCCCAGGACTGGGCTTGGAAGCCAGTTTCCCACATGCCAGGCAAGCACTCCCCCACTCCCCCTCCAGCCCCTAAAATAAATCCTTTTGGAGAGCTGACATGATGTCATGGGTGTAAAATTCCACATCTGGCCTCATGTGGTGCACTAAAATGTGGGTGCAGTAAAAAAAAAATGCAGGTGCACTTCTGGGCACGGTGGTGCAGGCCTGTAATCCCAGCAGCTCCGGAGGCTGAGGCAAGAGAATTGAAAGTTCAAAGCCAGCCTCAGTTACCTAACGAGGCTCTTAGCAATTTAGCGAGAACTTGTCTCAAAATTTATATATATATATATATATATATATATATATATATATATATATATATATATATATATATATATATATATATATATATATATATATATATATATATATATATATATTAAACGTATTCCATGTTCACACTTGAGTCCCTGTCCCAAGATATCTCATTATGTAGATGCAAATATTCCAAAATCCAGAACACTTCTGTCTCAAGGTGCCCCTCCCTTGCCCCTTGGCATTGGTGATCAAACCCAGCATCTCATGTGTGCTAATGCTAAGCAAATGCTCTTATCCCTGAGCTGTGTCTCTAACCCAAAAGCTGTCCCCCCCCCCTTGAGATGCATCTCACCATGTTGCCCAGGTTGGGCTCAAACTCCTGGGATCAAGTGATCCTCCCGCCTCACCCTCCCCAGAGCTGGAACCACGTGCCACTGCACCCAGCTCTTTGAAAATTCTGGCCAAGGCATCCTGCATCAGTATCAGGCAAATGGGAGGARGCTGTCTTGGACTGAAGCCACCAGAGCAGGACCTAGTATTTCACAGCCTTGCTCTGTCACAACCTGATTTCGAGAACCCAGAATGCAACGGGGAGTCACCTCTGGCTCCTCTACGTGCAGCTCCATCACCTTGTCCACCTAATGGTCCTGGGGAGCCCCCTGGGGCGCGGCAGCTTCCGCAGGGGGAATACTGGGTTTCGGGACATGGAGTGATCTTACCCTGGCTGGAAACTGTGGCTGTGAAGACCCACTGTGGGGTTCTGTCACCGTTTCGAAATAGAAAGTCCCTGGGGCACAGTGTTGGAGTGTGACACCCTCGCTCCGGGGAAGTGGACACTCTTCCGCATCCCAAGGTCGGGGGCAATCTGGGTAAACTGATGGTCTAGTAATTGGAGTGTTTGTCACCACGTTAGACGTGTTAGGGTCTCGTCACTAGTTTACTACAGTGTGGCCGGCGTCGGGTCGCGCCCACTCCAGCTCCTCGCTTCTCCCGCAGGGCCCGCCTGGAGCCTGCTGGCGCGCGTGGCCGGCCGGCGGCGCCTGGCGGCTGGAGGCCCTTGGGCCCGGGACGTGCAGCGCGCSGGCGCCTGGGAGCTGCGCTTCTCCTACCGCGCGCGCTGCGAGCCGCCSGCCGTCGGGGCCGCGTGCACGCGCCAGTGTCGCTCGCGCAGCGCCCCCTCGCGGTGCGGCCCGGGACTGCGCCCCTGCGAGCCGATCGAGGACGAATGCGAAGCCCCGAGTGAGTCTTACCAACCCCATTCAGTGCCTGGGGACACCGACTCCCCCTTGCTTCACTAGCGGGTTCCGATATCCTTCCRCAACCCAGCTACTTCCTTAAGGGATCTGGGCCCCTGGGCCCCTTTCTAGCTCCATTCCTGGTCCTCAGCCCCCTGTCACCATCCACCTAAACTCAGGACCCTAGACATCCCTCCAGCCCTGCCTGGGGACTCCAGTCCCCTTCCCTCTTCCCGGTACCCTTGTTGTCCTAAGTAGGAATTCCACACGCATTTCCAGAGTTGTGCCCCATTTCCTCCCCTAACCCGTACCCACCCCTTTCCTGAGGTTGGGATTCCACCCTCTTCTAATTCTGGGAMGCTCCCTAGTTCCACCCAGGAGCGTTAGAAACGTCTCCCAATCACCCCTTCCTCCAGCGCCCCCACTTCCCCCAGAATCTTCCCTCCTCCTTCCCTGAGATTCCAGGCCAGAACTCAGTGGTTTTTTATTTTTATTTTTTAAAATTATTGATTATTTTTTCCTTGAGGTGCCTGAGGTAGGACCCGGCCTGCTCACATGCTGAGCCAGTGCTTGATCACGGAGATACATCCYGGGCCCCTCACTGCTTTTTAAAGCTTGGGATCCCTAACCTCGACCCTGGGGTCCCTCAGACCTTTCCTCAAGTTTCAAAGCACTAGCAAGGCCCCTAGGCTRCCAGATAACCTAGATCTGCCCAAACCTTCCCTCACCCAACACCTTCCCACCTTCCCTGAAAGGCCAGGGGTCCCTCCCAATCCCAGATCCCCACCCTCATTCTCCTCTCCAAGCTCAGACTTGGCAGTACAGAGCCAAGGCCAGCAGCCTGGGTGCCAGTCCTCACTCCTCACTCCACTTCTGGCTGTGCAGCCCAGCTCACCTCTCTGGGCCTCAGTTTTCCTGTCTGTAAACTGGGAGGGTTGTCTGTCATAAGGATGTGACAGGGTAGTGCACGGGAAGCACTCACAATCTCTGCTTCCMATCCTCTTGCCCTCGACCTTCTCCAACATCGATATTCCTCTTCTCTGCCTCTCCACCCAGCATGTCGGGCAGGCTGCAGCCCAGAGCATGGCTTCTGTGAGCGGCCAGATGAATGCCGATGCCTGGAGGGCTGGACTGGGCCCCTCTGCACCGTCCCTGTCTCGACCAGCAGCTGCCTCAGCCCTAGGGGCCCATCGTCTGCYACCGCTGGATGCCTTGCGACTGGGCCTGGGCCCTGTGACGGGAACCCGTGTGCCAACGGGGGAAGCTGTAGCGTCAGTATCCCCTCTCCCAYCTCCCCCTGATTAGAACTTTACCCTGGGAGTTCCTGAGACCCCTCTCTGGGGAGGAGGTCTGGAAGTAGCCATCAAGGAGGGCTTCCTGGAGGCGTCCAGCCTGCATGGGGCCTTGAAGTAGGTGATGGAGATGGGATCGAGGAGCAAAGATTGAGCGGAGGTACCGAAAGGTGGGAGTGGGAAGGAGGAGTGTGTGGGGCCACGGGCGTGGAGGTCCGGGGCTCCTGGAAGATGGAGGTGAAGAGGTCAYAGGCTTCCTGGGCTAGCGCTTGAGAAGCATGGTTTGGCTGAGGGGTGGCCCAGTGAGTGGAGGAAGCAAAAGCACAAAAAGTGGGAATGAGCTTGGTGTCTGTACTTGGGCAAMCTAGAGCCACTGCCACCCTGGGAGGGGGAGAGCACTCTGTTCAAGTTRGGGGGATCACCCAGGAATAGATGGGGAGCAGCCCTCATGGAGGAGGTGGGCTCAGAGCCAGGACCTCAAAGTACTATTTGTGCACGCGGRTGGATTCCGGAAGGCAGAGCAGAGGGCAGCATTTGGAGGGGCAAAGGTATAGCCGTGGGAATGAGTGCACAGGGTGACAGAGTGGACAAGGGACTGTCTGGGGAGGACTCCCAGGCAAGGACCCTGAATACTGGGGCTTGGGRCAGGACAAAGAGCAGCCCCAATGGTTACGACTCCGGAGAGGGATGGGGTTTTGCCTCGAGAACCCTCCTGTTCAAAGCCCTCTTGCCCCTGCCAGGAGACACCCGGGTCCTTCGAGTGTGCCTGCCCCCGCGGGTTCTACGGCTTGCGGTGCGAGGTGAGCGGGGTGACCTGTGCGGATGGACCCTGCTTCAATGGTGGCTTGTGTGTTGGGGGTGCAGACCCCGATTCTGCCTATGTCTGCCACTGCCCACCTGGTTTCCAAGGTTCCAACTGTGAGAAGAGGGTGGACCGGTGCAGCCTGCAGCCGTGCCAGAATGGTAAGGCTGCGAGGCCAGAATGGCAGGGGATGGACATGGGGGCGGGAGGTCCCTGCATGGCTCAGATGGTCCTGGGTGAGAATCCTGTCTATTCTGTAGCCTCAGTGTTTGGGCTCCTTCCTTTGCCCAGCCACTGTGTTCTGTAAAATGGGCAAGGAGATAGTCCCTATCTTATATTTAATTGTCAGGYGTCAATCTAGGCACTGCAGATTACAGCAGGGAAATATTCCTCGTTCCCTTGGAGCTGATGTGGCAGGAATGTGCCTGTCCTGTCGCGGACCAGCAGGGAGGCCAGTGGGGTTGGAACAGTGAGCAGAGAACAGTGGTGAGAGACTGAGGCCAGCAGGTGATGGTAGTAGATCCTGTGGGACCTTCTGGGCAGCAGGAAGGGAGACTCTTGCTTTTACTCTGAGGTGGAGCCGCCACAGGAAGGTTCTGAAAGGGGACAGACCTGATCCCGGTTAAAAGATTAAAAGAGATCATGAATGTAAAGCGCCTGGCATGAAGTGTGCCTGGCACACTCTTAATGGAATGATTATGTCCGAAATAATGTGTGTTCACTCTGGCCACAGCAGTGTCCAGGCCATCTCTTGGGCTCTGCCAGTGGCTGCCTGAGCCCCTCACCCTCGGCCTATCCTCAGAGAGCCCCGAGAGGTCAGGGCTATGGGAAGGGGGCACAGGGCACAGTGATGGGGCTGGGATGGAGGAAGAGTTGGGAAGGGTTTTCCACGCGGGAGGGAAAAGAGGAAGGGCAGTCCTGGCGGAAGGCGCGGCCCAGGCCGGTTAGTATGAGTCGAGGTGAGAACGGGGGAGACCCCGAGGGCTAAAGGGTGAGGCTGCGGGAGTCCAGGACTTCGGCGCTGGTTTCCCCGGCAAACCGAGCCTGGCCTTTGCGTAAGGGAATGGGGCACCCAGGGCGGCGACACGGAGCAGAGAAACTGGGCGGGCGGGCTGCGCCGCTGACGCCCGCTTCCCCGCAGGCGGGCTCTGTCTGGACCTGGGACACTCCCTGCGCTGCCGCTGCCGCGCCGGCTTCGCGGGTCCGCGCTGCGAGCACGACCTGGACGACTGCGCGGGCCGCGCCTGCGCCAACGGCGGCACGTGTGTGGAGGGCGGCGGCGCGCGCCGCTGCTCCTGCGCGCTGGGCTTTGGTGGCCGCGACTGCCGCGAGCGCGCGGACCCCTGCGCCGCGCGCCCCTGCGCTCACGGCGGTCGCTGCTACGCCCACTTCTCCGGCCTCGTCTGCGCCTGCGCGCCGGGCTACATGGGCGCGCGCTGCGAGTTCCCGGTTCACCCCGACGGCGCGGACGAGGGGGTAGCGGCCCGACCCAGCCTGAGGCAATCGGACCCGCAGCGCTTCCTTCTGCCGCCAGCTTTGGGACTGCTGGTGGCCGCGGGCTTGGCTGGCGCTGCACTCTTACTGATCCACGTGCGCCGCCGTGGCCCTGGTCGGGATACTGGGTCTCGCTTGCTGGCGGGATCCCCGGAGCCATCGGTCCACGCGCTACCCGATGCACTCAACAACCTGAGGACGGCGGAGGGCTCGGGGGACGGCCCCAGGTGAGGGCCGCCGAAGGATGCTTTGTGGCTATTGGTTGCGTGCATCCATCCCCACCGTGCAATTGGTCTGAGTCTTTGGTGCATCTTCCTGATTGGCTCGTACCCCTCTAGCCCTCTTCGGATTGGGTAGTTCCGGAATTCCCCCTAGTTGACCGCGGGTTCCTGTCCTTGATTGGTGGGGGAAACAAGATTTGAGAATTTAGAGGGATTTGGTCTTTCCTTCTTTCCTTCCTCCTACAGTTCGTCAGTAGATTGGAATCACCCCGAAGATGGAGACTCTCGATCAATTTATGTCATATCTGCTCCTTCGATCTATGCTCGGGAGGTAGCTACGCCCTTTGTCCCCACTGTCCACACGCTGGGAAAGGCAGCCCTGATTTTTCTCTAGTTCTCTGATTTTCTCTAATTCTGTCTGTGAAACAGGACAGAGCTTCTGCAAGGTCTCTAAGCCTGCCCTTCAGTTCTGGCTTAATTCTGTTTTGCATTCCTCTTGCTGTTGTTTGGGTTCCTTGGCCACTTCCTTGGAAGGCCCCTGGGCTCAAGAGGTCACAGTGGAGACCCTCAACCAGAGCTGCTTCTGGGGAGAGGGGTGGCGGAGGGGCAGCCCTTCTAATGCTTCTTACTCCTTTCCTTTTCTAGGCCTGAACTGCCCCTTCTCCATCAGAGCCCGATGCTGATACTTGCTTGCTAGTGGCCAATCTTGCCCCAGACATTTTGGAGTGCATGTTGGAAGGAGCGGCTGGGAGAACTTGACTGTTGGCAGTTGTACATAATGGTTATTTATATCCTATTATTTTCTCTCCCCATCTTTCCAGAAATGTCTATAAAGGCTCTTATTTTGATCAAATATCTCAGGCTGAGTGCTTTATATTTGGTGTTAGAACTGAGGGGAGGAGAGATTTGACTCTCTTTGAGAATAATGGAATTCTTTATGTTGCAGAAATCAGAAACCACACAAATTGATTTAAATTTTTAAAATAACATTGTTAAAACACAAAATTACAACAAATCTGATTTTATAGATCTTTACTGGATTTATTTGTGACTGAATTAGGTAGCAGTCTTTATCAAAAATGGTTCAGAAAACTCCCTTCCACCACATAGGCAGGTTGTAACTTTTTTGTTTGTTTTTAACTTTTTTGTTTGTTTGGTACCAGGGATTGAACCTAGGGGTGCTTAACCACTGAGCCACATCCCCAGCCCTTTATTTTATTTAGAGACCAGGTCTTTCTGAATTACTTAGCATCTTTCTAAATTGCTGAGGCTAGCTTTGAACTTGCAATCCTCCTCCCTCAGCCTCCTGAGCCCAGATTACAGGCTTATGTCACTGAGCCACACTGCAGGTTATAATTTATCCTCAGGAAGTGATATACAGAAACAAGAAGTGAGGTAGACAGACAGACACTGGTTACAGCTAAGTGTCTGTCTTATTTGAACATTTGAATAGTTGGCTACTTGTGATTGGCTAAGATTCAACTACTTGTCACAATGGTAGGTACACTCTGCACATCAAATTAAATTGTAGCTTACTATGTAAGGATGCCACTTTTGGCCAAGCAATTCAAATTAACAGTTCATAAAAAATAAATAATCCTGTGGTGGCTTCAAGTAGGGCTAGACTCCAGCTCAGTGTCTTTTCCAATTGGCTCTTTAGGTATGTGTGTGTGTCAGGGGACAGGTACTGGGGATTGAACCCAGGGATGCTTTACCACTGAGCTACAACCACAGAGCTACATTTTTTTTTTTTTWAATTTTGAGACAGAGTCCCGCTAAATTGCAGAGGCTTCCCTCAAMCTTGTGATCTTGCTGCCTTAGCCTCCCAGAGTCGCTGGGATTACTGGCGTGTGCCAGCATGCCCTACTCCAGTGGCTCTCTTTACCCCTGAATTGCCTTCGTAGGTAGATACACCTCCATGGGTCCTGGCTTGTCATAAGACCATCACTGAACAAGTTGCTAAGCAGCCTGACGTACTCTGATTAATCAGGCTTGTCATCTCCTTGCTGTGTGAAAGGGCGTCAAGGTGGCCTGCCCAAATCCCATGGAGTACCTGGGAGAGGGTACCACCCCAAGTTAGGGTTCCTTACTAGAAATGAGCACTGTGCCAGGAGGCAGACCAACAGAGCTGCCTTACGAGAAATGCTGAAGAAGTTTTTCAGGTTGGAGGCAAGTAAGACGAATGCAAATCCATGCCAGACAGCAGGGCACTGGCAGAGGAAGTGATGTCACCATAACCGTAATCACACACGCGTATTTCTTTCCCTTCTGGTTTAAAAAGCAGTTGTATAAGCGGAATTCTCTGGACTTAATTAAAAAAACAAATGAATGAATTAAAAATCTTATTCTTGAACCTCTAAAACCCTGAACCAAAATGAACCTCCCTTTGCTTCCTAAGTARCCCCTGTCAGGTATTTCGTGATAGTGACACAAAACTGACTGATACAGGAGCGTTGGCAGAGGGGCCTGATTGGAGCTGTTGATCAGGAGCACTTGCTATGGTTTGGAAGTGGTTTCTCCTCTAAAGGTTCATTGGTCCCCAGTGTGGTGTAATTTGGGGCCACTAGTGAGGGTGGCACATCATGGCAGCCTTGTACAGGATCAACTGCTCACATCGCAAGCTAGGAAGCAGAGACTGTGAAACCCGAGGTTCCACCATCCCCTTCGAGGGCACACCCCCAGTGATCTGAGGACCTCYCACTAGGCCCCACCTCTTAGGTCCCTACCATCTCCCTACCAGGCTCCCTGGGGACCAGTTCTTTTCACACATGGACCTCTGGAGGACACCCGTCCAAACCAGAGAAACTTGCATCGCGATTAACATGATTTTTTTGGGTGGTAGTGGGGCACAGTCAAACTCAGCTATTGTTTTATTTTATTTTATTTTTTATTTTAAAGATAGAGTGAGAGAGGAGAGAGAGTGAGAGAATTTTTCAATACTTATTTTTTAGTTTTTAAGGGACACAACATCTTTGTTGGTATGTGGTACTGAGGATCGAACCCGGCCGCCCGCATGCCAGGCGAGCACGCTACCGCTTGAGCCACATCCCCAGCCCCAGCTATTGTTTATATACAGTTCACAAAATCTGACTATTCCAATCTGTGTTACGTTTAGCAACAAAATGTTTAAAACAAAAGTATGGCTGATTGTCCCATTATCTGTTGCTATGGATACTGCTGCATGAACTCTGGCATGAAACACTACTCCAGAGGCTACAGGTKGACTGGGCTCTCATCCTCTGGCAGGCTGGCTCTGGTTTGTTCTCCTGGCCAAGACAGGGGTCTAAGAGAAAGTGGACTCCGCTGAACATCTTCACTTCACCTGTGTGCTGTCAATCAAAGCTAGTCACAAGGCCAGGGGTGGGGAAATGGATTCCACTTCTTGATGGGAGAAGGACAGAGTCCCATTTCTAAGGGTATAGATGGAGAAGGGGGTATTTTTGCCCTCAGTCTCCAACACTGGACACCTTCCCCTTGGGAGGGAAAGCATCCAGGTTGTTGGTACAGATGCCCTTTACTGAAAACAAACAAAACAAGCAACAAAACAAAAAAAAAAAACCCAAACTCCAAAAACCAAGCTAGCAGTCGGGGATCCCTCTAAGACAGGTAAGAACCCAGTCCTTGGCAAACCGTAGGAGCCGGCCTGGCAATGCTAGTGTCACCTCCAATGCTCTGGTGGAATAAAGGGAAAGTGCTAATACTTTGACTTGTCCCTGTTTCACATGTCCTGAAATTTCCTTCCAAAAGAGATGGAACAGATCTAAGTCAGAACTAGCCAAAAGGGCTAGTCGTGCCAGACTGAACCCAATAATTGTTCAGAACCTGGTGCATCAGGACTTAAAGGCGTCTGCATCCAGGGCAGCTCCTGGCATTATATATATATATATATATATATATATATGACTAGTGGAAAGGGGGTAATCTTCCCTAATTTGGGGAGTGTCCTAAGACAGTTAATGACACTCCTAATGCTGTTTGTATGCTTGAAAAAGCCTACATGTGTACAGATATGAGTGCATGGGCTCAGATCTTGGTTCTGCCACTTACTAGGATGAGCCACTTCACTTCTTTGTGCCTTTATTTCTTTATATGTAAAGTGGGAAAATAGAATCTGCTTCATAAAGTTGGGTGGATTAATGAACAAGTGCAAGGTTTTATAACAGAGCCTGGACTGTAACAAATGCTCAATTAATGTTAACTCTCTATTATGCTATGAGGAAAAMCAGCTTCACAGAGGGGAAACTGAAGGCCAGTGAAGGGTAGAGACTCACCTGGCATCAAACAAAATTAAGTGTCTTTCCTGGTTTTTTGAGACCCAAATTTTAGCACCTGGAGGTTGGGCAGGTCATGCCTCTCCTCTCCTCAGAACCCTTCCATGAATCGGAAGCAAGTCCAACCTAACCATATTGTACTAGTGTCAATATCTTGGTTCCAACCATGTATCGTGGGTCCACAAAGTATTACTATTATAGAAAATGGGAATTACACAGGATTTTTGTGTCCTACTAATCCAATTTCTTGTGTTAAACTATTTCTAAATAAAAATATTATATATATATATATATATATATATATATTTGAATTGCAGAATTACATATTATAAAAGATTGTGCACTTGCAGACATGTGCAAACTTTGTGAAGAGCATGCGGGGGTGTGGCTGCCAAGTTCAGGGCCCAAAATCACCCTCAGGATTGATAATCCGATGGGAGGATTGACCCTCTGGGTCAGTCGTGGTGCATCACAGAGGAAGCATAGGGATTAAAGTCATCCAAGGAAGAGGGGCAGAGTCCAGGGGAGTCCCTACTATGAGCATCTGGGTGTCCTGGTTGGGGAGTCACAGTTGGCATGACTTCCCCAGGAGACAGTGAGGTGAGCATGTGCGTTGMTAGCCAGCGGGGTGCGCCTGGAGCTTTAGGGTCTACAGTTTTTATAGGGGCTTGGTCAAGTCAACAGTCCAGGTGGCTGACCTTAGGAGTTGCCAGCACTTCCCAAGGTCGAGGTGACAGTGTGGCCCCAGACCCCACCATCAGTCACACTGTTAGCACAGACTGGCTTGGTCCAAGGCTCCAGCTTAACTACACAATGTTCTTAGGAAGGACATTCCAAGGGCTTAGAGATCATTCCCAGGAGCCAAGGGCAAGGCCAGACTCTCTTTGGACAAGGTTAATCACTTACTGCACCATGTATTAGCTAAAAAGCCTCCTAGGCCTCCATGTCCTCAGTGGCCACTGCTCTCTGCTCCCCGTGGTGCCCGGGCTTCAGCCCTGTGAGCCACTGTCCGCTCCTAGAACAAGCCAGGATTCCCCTCTGCCTCCAGCTTTACCTCCTTAACTCCTATTCCTTGTGTCTTTCATTAGTTCCACATTTATTGAGCACCTCCTGCGTACTGGGCCTTGATCTAGGAGTTGGGGACTGAACAAGATAGACAAATCCTCACCCTGAATAGTGCTCAGTGAGAGTCCTTCTCAGAGTGCGGAGGCCACAGGACCCTGGAGCCACCAGCTTGGGTTTGAATCCTGCCTCTGCTACTCATCAGCCTGTGTGATGCCTAGATTTAGTCCTGRGTAATGATAATTCTGCGTGGTGGTTTTCACCAGTTTTCTTCAGCGCTCCAGTTGTTGCTTTTTCCTCGGAAGCCCTCTCTGATGGCTGCAGACTGGTTGCACCTGGGCTGCCACTCTGATGGACAGGGACCAGGGCTTTCCTGATCCCTCCTTTGTCCCTAGAATCACCCAGCACAGAACAGGCACTCTCAGTAAACCGATGCCCAACACAGGAATGTCAACWGCAGCTGCGGGATGTACTGGTTTCTTACCCTGACGGTGGCCACCCAAGGGGTGGGAGAGCTGGAGGTCGCGCCATACCCCAGGCCTCGGTCTGTAGAACCTCCGCCCGAGTGGAACACGGTGTAACAGTGCCTCCTTGTGGGCACCTCTCATTTTAGAACCCTGGTGCGGAGATGCTCTCTTCCCCCAAGGAAGCGGGGTGGGGCGGGACTCAGGACCCGGGTTACCCGGGTCCCACACCGTCCCCATGAACAACCAGGCGGGGGCCCCAGCCCCCTCCCCAACCCGGCCCTCCACCCTGGTCGGGGCTTCGACCCGAACCCCAACCCCGACCCGAACCCCGAACCCAGTCCGGATGTCGACCCCTGTCCAGATCCCGACTCCGGTCGGAACCCAGGCCCCGATCCGGGCCGTGATCCCAGTCCGAACCTCCATCCAGTCCCGGGCACCGAACCCAGTTCGGACCCAGGCTCCGGTCCGGTTCTCAGCTCCGACCTCAGCTTCAGCCCCAGCCCCAGCCCCAGCCCGGGTCCCGACCCCAGCTGCAGCCCCAGCCCCAGCCCAGGTCCCCACCCGGACTCCGGTCCCGACCCCAGCTGCAGCCCCAGCCCCRGTCCCGACCCGGACTCCGGCCCCGAACYCAGCTGCAGCCCCAGCCCCAGCCAAGATCCCGTCCCGGGCTCCGGTCCCGAACTCAGCCAGGGTCCCGACCCGGACTCCGGTCCCGAACCCAGCCTCAACCCCAACTCCATCCCCAGCACCAGCCTGGGTCTGGACCCCGACTCCAGTTCGGTTCCCAGCCCCAGCCCCAACCCCAGCTCCAGCCCCAGCACCGTCCTGGGTCCGGGCCCCGATCCCCGCCTCGGTTCCGGCTAAAGAATCGCCCTCGACCCCAGCCCTACATTTGGATCCGCCCGCAGAACCTGCTCTAGAGTCTCCGGCGGAGACTCCTGCGCCCACGCCGGGCCCAAAGCACTTCCCATCCTTCAGCAGCCTCGCAGGGTCCGTCCCGGGACCCTTTCCCGCGCCCACTCCTCTGGCCTTTAACGTACAGAGATCCACTGCGAAGGCAGACCTAGCAGCCACCCAGTCAACGGATGCCCCCACTTCTGGACCCATCCCGGGGACCAGCCGGCTGTCCATCTCCATTTCTACCAACGCAGTCGCCTCCACCAACGAGAACTTCCAAATGGGGAACAAGATCTTGATTCGAGTGACCTACTGGTGAGGGACGCCCCTGCCCGCACCTGCCTTCCTCCCCACGCAGGGCTGGGTCGGGGAGGCTCGGGGCTGTGGGGGCGGAGCTCCCGGGCTGGGCGAGGAGGAGGAGTCAGGTGGAGCCCCAAAGTACCCAGACACCCCCAACCCCGCAGTGGGCTTAGCCCCGCCCATCCTCGTGTTTGGGGCGGGTTCAAACTCCTGCTCGGGCTCTGAGCTTCATCCGTTCACTTTTATTCATTCATTCATTCATTCATTCATTCATTCATTCATTCATTCGTGTGATTTCTGCCTCGTGGCTTCTTCTTGCCTCTCGTCCTTTGTCACTCACTTCCCAGCGCTCTGCCTGCCGCGTGCCAGGCCCGCGCTGGGAAGACGGTGCTGAGCTTCGGGACTCCCTTAGCGCGAGGTCTGGCGGTGCAGCCCAAAGCCAGGGTGCACGGAGATGAGCTCCCTGAGGGAGGACAAGGGGTTAGCGCACTTTAGGAACACCCCTTTTCAGGAGGTGACTCTTGAGCTGACACTCCACACTTAGGAGGAGGCGACACGGCAAGTGTAGCGTGGGGGAGGGGTAGTCAAAGTCGCCGGAGCAGCCGGTGCGAAGTCTGGAGGGGGCTGGAGGGGGCTGGAGGCCGTGCGGAGGCCTAAGCCTCTCTTTGAATCAACAATGAGAACAAAAATAACAGTAATGACTTTCCTCGACCTCCTCTGGGGCCCAGGGCTGAATGCAGCTCAGACAGTATTCCGTTCTGATCCCGGTGTGGCTTCTGCCCCAGGCCTCTTTGCACCTGGTCTTTCCCTCTCTCTCCTCTTCTCGTCTCTGCCCCGTGTCTCTCCAGCTCTCACCCAACTCGCTGTGGCTCTTTTTCCTGTGACATGTGCCTTTCCTCTTCCCCAGTTCGACTGGTTCCTTGTCTCCTGTGCTCTTCTCGCCCCATCTTCTCCTCTCTACCGGTTTCTCTGACTCCATGGGTTCATTAATCCACTCATCCAACAACCAATTTCTTGGGTACTTACCCTGCCTCAGGCGTGGTTTGTCAGGGATACAGGAGCCAACAAGACCAGGTCCCTGTCTTGGTCTGCTGGCATGCTGGGGTGGAGAGGAGACAATAAAGCATAAATAGGACCCACAAGGGACCAGTGCTATGGATAAAAGGCATCTTTGGTGTTGCAGTGTTGTGGTGGTGGTGGTTACAAGGAATTGAACCCAGGGGCACTTCACCACTGAGCCACATCCCCAGTCCTTTTTTTGTATTTTATTTAGGAACAGGGTCTCCCTGAGTTGCTTAGGGCCTCCCTAAGTTACTGAGGCTGGCTTTGAACTTGCAATCCTCCTGCCTCAGCCTCCTGAGCTGCTGGGATTACAGGTGTGCACCACCATGTCTGGTTTGGGGGTTGCCGTTTTAGCTGGCGTGGTCAGGAAGGCCTCACTGAGAAGCTGATATGAGTAAAGACCTGAAGGAGGGGAGAGAAGGAGCCAGCTGGGCACTAGAGGAGCATTCTGCAGAGAGAACCACAGTGGGTGCCCCGGTGTCAGAAGACCAGCTAGGGGGCCTCTGGGCAGAACAGGGTGAATAGTGTAGGACAGAGGGGGAGGAGGTGGGGCAGAGGGATGACGGACAGGTCATGTTGCAACTTCTGGGCCAAGGGGCAGACTGTGGTCCCTTCCCCTGAGTGAGGTGGTTCAGGGGAGGGTTCTGAGCAAGGGGAGGAGGTGATCTGACTCAGGCGTTTCTGGGGAACCTTGGGAAGTACTGATGTGTGTCCCCCCCTCTCTGCCTCCCTCCCACTCTCTCCCTTYGGCTTCTAGTGGCCTCTGAAGCTATAGCTTTCGGGTGAGTAGTCTGGCCTTGGAGGTGGGGAAAGAGTGGGACATGAAAACCGGGAGGAGTTGGTTTCCCTTCCTGGGACCCCATAACCCTGTGACCCTGCGATCCCATCTCCTTTCCTCAGTATATACTACTGAAGAAGAGTCTGGAGCAGCAATTTCCAAATCTCCTGCACTTTGTAAGCGTGTTGATGGGCTGGGGAGTGGGGACGTCAGCGCTTCCGACCCTCCAGGGCTTGGAGGGGAGCCCTCAGCCTTTCCCCATCCCAACATTCCTTCCCAGGAYGAGGAGGTAGCCCAGGCCACAGGGGAGTTTGAAGTGTTTGTGGAAGGGAAACTGGTCCATTCCAAGAAGGTGATTCTGAACAAGGGGCCTGCACAGGGAAGGAGGGTGGGGCTGGGAGCCTGGGGGAGGGAGACATATCTGAGCCTTTCCCCTCTGTGCCCAGAATGGTGATGGCTTTGTGGATGATACCAGACTTCAGAAAATTGTGAACGCTATCGATGAGGAGATCAGGAAAAGGTAGCAGGCAATGGTGGAGCTGGAGGTGAGTGAGATCCTGCAGAGGARTTGGAGGGCTGGGTTTGGGGTGGCAGGTGAGCAGGACAGGGCCCCATCTAGGGTTCTAGCTCAGCTGGTCTGACTCAGCTGGTCCTCACTGCTGTAGTTACCTAAACTCTCCTCTGAGCCTCAGTTTTCTCATCTATAAAATGGCTC